TCAAACGCCAGCCGCGCATCGGCGTCCACCGTCCGCCCTTTTGCGCCCGGGCGGTGATCTCCCCAAAGTCCGTCGTGCCCGCGAGCGCCTTCCAGCCCGCCTGCGTGTTGAGGATGTGCTCCGCCTGTGTAACGTGCAGGTCCACAGCGCTGCCTTTGTCGTGCGACATGCGTCCCGCTTTATTGGTGTAGTGGAAGATGAGCGAGGGGTCGATGGTGCCAGAGCGCGTTGCGCCGGGGAGGCCGTTGAGCGGGGTGAGGCCCATAGAGGTGTCGAGGGATTGACCGTGCTGGATGCAGCAGGCTGACGCGCCGGACCCGAGGTGCAGAATGATAAGGTTGAGGGTGTTGGCTGGCTGGGAGAGAATGAGTAGGGAAAGAGGTAGAATATACTGAACCACCTTTTCCAGAAAACGCGAGACCGAGCGCAGAATGAACGAGTCTATAATACAGTGTCAGCCGAGTTGTGAAAAATACGGTGACACTTACAACTCAGCCCGTGGAAGCCGTACTTTTTCAGGCCCCGCTTCTTGGCGATCTTCTGGTCAATCGCATAGCTGGATATATGGGGCGGGATGGAACGGTGGAACGCCGTGTCGAAGAACGCAATTGATTTTGCATTTGAGAGTTGAGAAAGACACGTCTTTATGACGGCGAGAGACGCGCCGTTGTGACTGGAGAGCAGATAAAGGCGCATTCATAATTACAGTCGAGTCGAGAAGCATACAGGGGTGCGAGGTCCGACAGCGTCTCAATGTGTTTGTAGGCCTCGTCGTTGACAACCACAGGGTCTGTATAATCGCCACCATGGACGACGCGATGGCAGACGTGCGTGATTCGTGCACGATCGAGGTCTGCTTCCTCGTCAAGGCAGTCGATGAAATGCGCAAACGCCGAAGCGTGATCGTGAATCGACTCGACTTTTTCATCTTTGGTCGTGCCTTGTACTACCTTGAATGAAAATTTCGCGGGCGGAGCAGATATGTTGGACATGGAGGAGGTGAGTTTCAGCTCCACAGGTTCAAGATGATCGCCGCCTGGTCGGACGCTATACAGAGATATCTTGAGAGACGAGGAGCCCGCATTTACAGAGAGTACGAGATTGTCCTCGGGAGACATGATAGTTGAAGCCTGAGGACTGAAATTGAAGTTGCATTCGACTGGAGTGTTGACACGGTCCGGCGGGTATTTCCATGAGTCTCGACCAAATCTTTTTCCTATTCATAGGCGCGTCACTTCTGACGATGGGCACCGTCAGGCCCCATTAGGTCCTCCAAGATTGGAATAGCGCCTTATTTTACCGTGGTTCAAACCTTGAGAAGGTCGAGTTGAAAGAAGAGGCTTGGTCGAGACCAAGAGACCATTGGTCGATGTGAGAAATTTCCTCATTTGGGCTTTGTTCTGGGCTAGATGCATCTACACAAAATATACCGTGCTATGGAGTAGCTGACGCCCAGACATGGTCTCGATGCCACTTTTTCTCTCGATGGCCCAATCCATGGTCTTCTATGACGCGCTTCTTTGGTATAAAACGAAAATAGATTGAAAGATTTGGAGTCGACACCTTCTTCCTCCAATGCCTGCCCAGATTCTACTCCAAGCCAATCCCCCAGCCGATCCCTCCCTGCTGCCGGACTCTGTGCTTCAGCTCGGCGTCCAGCTCGACACGAAAGATTACCTCTCGAGCGATGAGCTCAAAGCCATAAAGATGTTCCGGAGGGCCGCAGATTACATTGCAGCGGGCATGTCCTGAATTGCGCGTCGCGGTCCCGACTAACACCACATACAGCGATGATATTTCTCAACCATAACGTGCTTGTTGAGCGCGACATAACCCACGACGACATCAAGTCTCGCCTTCTCGGACACTGGGGTACCTGCCCAGGCCTTATCATGGTAAGTTCCTTTTGACAGAACGCTGCATCGTTACCCATCGTCGATGTTCCAGGTATACGCACACATGAACAGGCTTATCCGCAAAACGGGCCTCAACGCGTTGTATGTCGTTGGCCCAGGTCAGTCCGTTCTCATTTGTTCGAATTCATTGACTAAATCCTCGCAGGTCATGGCGCTCCTGCTATTTTATCTTGCCTATTCTTGGAAGACTCCCTGAGTGTCTTCTACCCGGAGCTCACTCGCGACCGCGAGGGCCTCCACAAGCTCATCTCAGGCTTCAGCGTTCCCGGGGGCTTCCCAAGGTCAGACCCGAACTGAAATTTTGTGCGTCGTGAATTTAACGCGTTCAATTCAGTCATATCAACGCGGGGACCCCTGGCGCGATCCACGAAGGCGGAGAGCTCGGCTACGCACTCAGCGTGTCTTTCGGGGCTGTCATGGATAACCCAGATCTTGTCGTTGCGTGTGTGGTCGGAGACGGCGAGGCCGAGACGGGTCCCACATCGACTGCATGGCATGGCTTCAAGTATATCGACCCTGCAGAGTCCGGTGCGGTCCTTCCGATAGTCCATGTAAATGGCTTCAAGATTTCCGAGCGTACCATCTACGGTACAATGGACGACAAGGAGATTATTGCGCTTTTCACGTACGCGTCTCCTTTAAATCCGGCTTTCCCTCATTGACTTGCTTTTCAGCGGGTACGGTTATCAAGCGCGAATCATTGAGGACGTCGAACACATCGACAATAACCTCGCGGCCTCGTTTGACTGGGCCCTCGCCGAGATCAAGAAGATTCAGAGCGCCGCGCGCAGCGGAAAGCCCATCGTCAAGCCGCGGTGGCCCGTTCTCATCCTCCGCTCACCCAAGGGTCTCGGAGGCCCAAAGTCCTTCCACGGGGAATTTATTGAAGGTTCCTTCCACTCGCATCAAGTACCTCTCCCCGGCGCCAAAAAGGATGCGGAGGAACTCGCGGCACTGCAGGCGTGGCTCAAGTCGTACTCTCCCGAGGAGCTTTTTACATCGGAGGGGGTTCCCGTGCCGGAGGTCCTGAGCATTGTCCCCGATGTCGCGGGGCAGCGCCTTGGGCAGAAGAAGGAGAGCTTTGCGGGGTACGCGCCGCTGAAGGTCCCAGAGTGGGAGGGCTTCTGCGCCGAGCAAGGCACACAGGAGAGCTGTATGAAAGCTGTCGGCCGACTCCTCACGGTTGTGATCAAAGAGTACGTGTATCGATGTTCGTTCTATACCACGTCTGATACATCTGCTCGCAGAAATCCCAAAGAGTTCCGAATCTTCTCGCCCGACGAGCTCGTTTCCAACAAGCTCGACGCGGTGTTCGAGGAGACAGGCCGCAATTTCCAGTGGGACATCCAATCGCGTGCTCAAGGTGGCCGTATCGTCGAAATTCTGTCCGAACACACCTGCCAGGGTATGTTGCAAGGATACACCCTCACTGGCCGGACGGGGCTGTTCCCCAGCTACGAGGCCTTCCTTGGTTCGTCTTATCCTTCGCATTGATGGTCGAGAGTCTGATTCCCATGTAGGAATTGTGCAAACGATGATGGTGCAGTACAGCAAGTTCACCAAGATGGTACGTCGCCCGTCTTTATCTATTCATGAGGGTTATATCCCCTGCAGTCGGCCGAAATCCCATGGCGTCAGCCCTGTGGCTCGCTCAACTACCTCGAGACGTCCACTTGGGCACGTCAAGAACACAATGGCTTTTCTCATCAGAATCCGTGCGTATCACCCAGTTTCATTCTGCTCATACCGACGAACTTTCGTAGGGCATTTATCGGCGCCGTACTCAATCTCAAGGCCGCCTTCGCCCGTGTTTACCTCCCGCCTGACGCCAACTGCTTCCTCTCCACGATGTCCCACTGCCTGAGGGCGAAGAACTATGTCAATCTCATGGTGGGCAGCAAGCAGCCTACACCGGTGTGGTTGTCGCCGGAGGACGCTGACAAGGTTTGCGCATTTGTTGAAGCTCCCTCCCTCTAGAGACTCATGTAGGTAACAGCACTGTATTGCCGGCGCCTCTGTTTGGAAGTTCGCTAGCGTTGAAGATGGCGTCAACCCCGACGTGTAATTCTTTCACGCGCAGCATGGTGGTATCATCCGCTGACCACCCTCCAGCGTCCTTGTCGGCATCGGCGTCGAAGTCACCTTTGAGGTCATCGCCGCCGCCGCCCTGCTCCGCAAGCTGGCTCCCGAACTGCGAGTGCGGGTGGTGAATGTGACGGACCTCATGATTCTCAGCGCCAACGGCTCCCATCCGCACGCCCTCAGCGACGAGGCGTTCGACTCGCTCTTCACGCCCGACAAGTCGATCCACTTCAATTACCACGGGTACCCGATTGAGCTCAAGGGCCTGCTCTTTGGGCGTCGGAACCTCGAGAGGGTGTCCATTGAGGGGTGCGTCGCCGCGTGTATACATGGTTGAGCTACAGCTGACCGTGGATGAACAGGTATCGCGAGGAGGGCACGACGACCTCGCCGTTCGATGTACGTTTCGGCGCACTTTCCAAACGCTTGTTAACGTCTCCTAAGATGATGCTATGTAATCACACCTCGCGCTTCCATGTCGCTACCGCCGCCATCCGTGGAGGCGCGCTCTCGAACCCTAAAGTTGCAGTGACCGCACACGAACATGAGTCTTTCATCAAGCATCTCGCGGCCAAGGAGAAAGACTACATCTATGCCAATGGCAAGGGTGTGTTGGACTTTCTTTTTCATTCTACACGAGATGTTAAACATTGGCATAGATCACGACGACACTTTCGACACTCCCACTTTCTAAGCTGTATCAAGATTATTGTAAAATAGGGTTAATGTACACCTACACACTTGCTATATTTCAACGTTCACATTTTTCCTCATGAGTTGGTCCGTTTGAGCAGAATGAAATGAAATCGGCAAGGTTCGTTTCCACGGTGCTAGTTTCGGTGAAGAATTGAAATGGAAGTAAAAGCAGCAATCTATAATAAAAGACGGTGTGATAAACCATAAAGACGGTTTGAGAAGTACCTCAGCTATGCATGCATGTAGCACAGGTAGTTCGCAACGCACAAGTAAAACAAGCAAAACGTAACTGGAATTAGCAAAAAGCGACCAAGGTGGGACTCGAACCCACAGTCTCTGCCTACCAGTTACGAATCGGAGACTCGTAACGATCGGAAAGCAACGCAGTAACCATTTTGCCACTCGGCCATGGCATAAGTTCAAACAGTTACTCGTATAGCTCCGCTGCGGATTCGCTGTAGAGGCATATTAACGTTATACCGAAAAAAAACGGCAAAAGGCAACCTCCTAAGCGTACAAAGATTCTAAAGTTACTTGCAGTCAGTTGGTCGGACGGGTTTTTCTGCCAAGTTACGGAGTAAGTAAGTAGATGCGGTCACGATTCGATGGAGTGTGGCAAACAAACGCAACGCGGTCGCGCCGGCGCTGCCCTTGAAAAGCGATCATGGATGTTTCCAATTGGTTTCCAAGACCCTCGACGCATCCTCCGACTAGGGTGAATATATTTGATTCTCGCGGCTTTAGCCTTGGATACAAACTCCACCCGTTTACCGACCCTGATAATCAGGTTCGACATATGATGATCTTGTATCTCTTCAGATCATCTCTCCTTCTGTGGACTCGTCTTTGGGGGAGCTAGCCGCCACTTGTCGACTGGCTTTCTTTGCTTTGTGCTAACCGCGACTTCTTTGTCTCTTTCCATTTCTCCGAAATCGTCGTCCCCTTAGATGATGGCGCATTCCCGGTCCTCCGTATGTCTTTGATACGGTCCTCTTAGTGCTGCCCTCACCGCGCGAGAAGGCCCCGGAAACGGCTACCTTGCCTCCGATCAATGTACTCTTCGCAGAGGTCCTCCAGCGACAATTAGCTCAACCATCGACCCCACCCATCCGGAGACCTTCGGCCTGGCCTGGCTTTGTGCGTGCTCTTGTGACGTTGACGTGTTATCCGCTTCCTTTTAACTGTGCTTGTAGCCTGGTCCAGACAAGAACGTGCTATCCAAGTCAGGGTACCCTCATGGTTCCCCTCCCCCTCCGTTGCAGGTTGGGCGCCGTCCGTTAAGCGCATCACATTCGGTCAGCGTCGGCCCTTCAGCACCGGCCCGTGTCTAAGACTTTTGTGCAGGATGTTCTGACCAGTCCTTCCATATTTCCCCATGCCCATGCAAGGGACAATCCTTTGATGGGTGTAAGACTTTGCTGTAACCACATTTTTCCGATTCGCAACTAAAATAACCATCAGGGTAAAACCTCCCACCGAAGGAGTTTGCACTATGAGACTCAGGAACGCGAATCGTCGTCAAACGTATGGCTCGTGTGCTTTCTCAAGTTGGATCTAACGGTTTGCGATTTTAGCATCACTCTAGTCGCGACAGTTATGGGCAATCTTCGCAACGTCCCGCGCCATTCCGCCCTGTGAGCATTTTCCTACTTGTTCCTCCTTCTCTGACTGTTGTACGTCAGAGATCTGGGAGTTGGTCTGAGTCTCGGGGTCAGAGGGACAGCGGCGTGAGTTTTATTTATTTCCATGTTCCCGCTTTCAAGTTGATAATTACCGTCCTATTAGCGACTGCCGCCAATTGTGCATATGTTATTCCATCCCCCCCAAGAATATCTCTAACTGCCCATGTTTCAGGCGATGACACCCGCTGGTTCGCCCCGCCTATACGACCGAGAAACACCCTCCTCCGCTTCCTCACGACCACGATCGCGTGACTCGACCTGTCCCCACTGCGCGATGGACCAAGACATTGAAGACCGCCGGGCCGCCGCCGCCACTCGCCCCCCCGTCTCCTCCGAGCCTGACTGGACACAGAAGCAGCAGATCCCCACCCCGCTTCCCCCCTCGCACGGGCATACTATGATTGCATTCCAGCCGACCCCCAGCTCCTACCCCGGACGCGCCTTTGGGGTCTCCATGGCCGATATCCTCGACTTCCGGCCGTGCCTCAAAGAGCCGGATGCTCCGGTCCTGGACAGCGGCGTGGACCAGGTGCTTTTGACCCTTGAGGTCCGCATTTTTCTACTCTATTCAACAGCTGTTTCACCCGCCTTTTATCATGCAGGCGAAAGGCTACTCCACATTCGTGCAATCAATTGCGGGTAACTGTGCGCATCGACGGATCTCGCGCTTCAATCTGGCTTACGCCGTGGCCTCGGCGTACGACTCTTTCCTCAAGGTATGCTCCTCATCAGGGCCTGTTAACAGCCAAAATAACGTCGCTTTCCAAGGACTTTCCGTTTAATCCGGCTGGCCTAAAGGCGGCGGCCATTGTCGTTCGCTCAGTGGCAGAGCTACGGCTCGTCAATATGTACTCGCGTGATGGACGAGTGTGGAAGGTGCACGTCGCGTACTTGTGTATGAAAAAAAAATTGGGAAATCTAACGACAACAAATTCGGGAACTAATTGGACCTTTGTACATTATTAAAGCTTATGACTAGTTACGAAGCCAACTGTACATGACCTTTCAATATTATCGGGGTAAAAAGCTTTTTTGGGGGGTGCTCTTCAAAGGAACCGAATATCTGGATTGGACGGGTATACCAAAACGCCTCGTCGCCCGCATCTCGTGTTGTGCGTGCTCGTGAATACATTGTACCACACTAGATATATACTACGCTAAATATGCACTTTAGAAAATAAGTTACAGTTCGTCTATATCACACTCAGCCAACCGACCGCCTCTCCCTATCCACGGGACCGAGAACTCGAGCGCGAGCTCCGTCGCAGCCCATATTGAGCTTCGTGAAGAACAGCAGGCGCGGGCAGGCCCGCGTTGTGGAAGGAGGGCAGTAGATCCCCGTCGCCGTCGGCAGTATCGGAGTCAGGGGGAGTCGGGGTCAGAGCCTGCAACTCCATCTTGGACCTGACAACCTTGACACGACTGGCTTTTATCGGTTTACGTGCAGGGCGGGGTGGGGACTTCTCGGGCGTAGGAGGCATTCGTGTTGACGGCCGCTGGGCAGTGATGTAGACCTCGGGTATAAGCCTCGGCCGTGGAGGGATAGTGAGGAAAAGCTTGGTTGGGGGCGACGCAGCCATCGGTTGACTGCGCGGCGGGGTGAGTAGTTGGCCACTGGTAGAAATCTTCCGACGCTTGGGGCTCTCCGTCGACCCTGGCGCCGCCTTGCGTTTTTTTTCCGCCTCCCGCCGACTCCTCCTCCTCCTTCCGACGCTTCTTCTCACTCACAGCCTCCTTCGCGCGCGCCTCCTTGTCGATCTCTGCCTGCAGAATCCCCGCAAAAACCTGCGCGTCGCCCTGTAGCCACGCATCAAAAACGCCCTCCCACTCGCGTGTGGGCACCGGAAAGTCGAGGTTGAGATACACCGTCTTGATAGGCTCCTCCTCCGTGCCCCCAGTCGCCGGCGATGGACTAGGGCGATTCGAACCCGCTCCGTCCTTCCCTCGCGCACGGACCGCTTTCGCAAACTCCCGGACCATGCGCTTTGTGCCCTGTACACGCAGGCTCGTGCCAACAACGAGCAGTAGGTCCGCACCACTGCGGCCCTTTCCTTTGGAAACCCCGAGCAGGTCGCGACGGACGGCTTCGCCGACGCCTTCGCCGTCCTTGTGCGCTTCGTTGTACAATACGACCGATGGGCGGAGGCGGCCAACGCCGCGGGCCCGCTTGCCAACGAGTTGCCGGGTCTCCTCCATGGCGGTGCACTCGGGGCACGCGGGAGGCGTTCCCAGTTCGAGGGACACGATGTGATCTATGAGGGCAAAGGAGTGGTTGCAGATCTGGCAATGAACTGTCTGTAGGGTTCCGTGCAGTGGGATGCAACGAGGCGTTTCTGCAGGCGGGGTTGGAAGCCGGCTGGTGGACGCCACATTCTCGATAGCCAGCGGTTCGGGGCCTATTACAACGGCGTTTGGAGATTTGGAGGCCTTGGGGGTGCGCGGTTTCGGTCGCTTCTCTTGGAATGGAGGTACACCAAAGGACAATCCAGCCTTCTCTTCGATTCCGTCGATATTTTGTGAGTAGACACGAAGTAGTTTGCCCCTATCGTCCATGGCACGCAGAAGACGGTGGAATGGCGTCGGTTCGGCAGCGGTTGAAAGCTCGGAGAGGCGTGCGATCATCTGGCAGAAGAGAGACGTCGTGTTCTCGGACTGAACGGAAAGTCGTCAGCGAGGGATATCTCTCAACAGCTTGAATTCTCGATTTATGCAGCTTTTCCAAGTTGCATCGACCAGAGCGCGCTGGAAGAAGGATTTTAAGGCTCGAAAATAACGCACATGGAATACAGAGGCATCAAAAAGATCCTTCCCTGACGCCAGGACCTCCTTCGGGTTCTCGCGCTTTAAAGTCTGGAAAAGCCCCTCTGGAGAGCGAAAATCCGGGATGCCAGCTTTCACAGAAATTCCAGCGCCTGTGCGGTAGATTCAGGCATGAGTTACGCATAAACTGAGGCGGAAAGAACGCAAACGGACCACAAACGATGACTATTCGTTTGGCTTTCAAAATCGCCTTGATAGTTTTCTGCAACTGCACTGTAGGGTCCGTGGGGATCTGTAAAAAGGACGGCGAGGTAGGGATGCCCGCCGACGAGTCCAGCGGGACAAAGAGCGTCATGGGAGACGGTGGGTAGCACGAATGTTAGGAGAAGAAAGGAAAGAGCGTGCTGCCAGATGTGGCGATGATGCAACCAATCACTGCCTTGTTCGTCTTCAATCACCACAACGTTTATTTGGGTTCACTAAGCTGCCTGCGAGCCGCACAGAATCGCGAAGTACTTACCGCCGTTTCTCTGGGTCGACCGTCTTCTACAATATAATCCCACTCCAAATGCACCATGCGTGCGGACGAACAACTTGACATCCGATGCCAGCATGCAGGAGATGAGCGGCGACAGCGGCGACGCGGCTGTTATGCAGATAATCATTACTATGGCCAGCGTCGAGTCTCGATTTCCGCGGCAGAGAGAGCTACCGCTGTTTCCCCTCAATCCAAAAGCAGCCAAAAGCACTTCAGCTAGCCTCGGAAATGCACCTGACCCTCTTGCTCTACCCAGTCCCGTGGTATGCGTCTCCTTACCGCGGACCTCTCGATGCCGACATCTCTTTAACTACCGCCCTCGGTTATGCATACGCAGTCCACCCATTAATCCCGAACTATCCAGCACAAAGGCCCGCATCGTCCGTTATTCGTTCACGAGGGCTGCCGGCTCCCATTTAGGCTCTGGT